GGGATGGGAGTGTAGCTCAGTGGCAGAACACTTGCTTGGCATGCACAAAGCCCTGGGTTCAATACCCAGCACCATCCAAAAAAAAAAAAAAGCTGTAAAAGTACATATTAAATTTATGTAAGCATACTAAACATATTCTGTACACCCAAAAAGTTGGAAAAAGTCATCATTTATTTCCTCAGCTTTCTTTTTGCAAAGTAATTACTGCTGTGGGTTAATTAGGGTGTCATAAATAGACATTTACTAAGCAGAAAACTCTACCTTGTCCTTGTGGAAATTTAGATATATGACATCATTAAAGGAAAACATGGAAAAAGTGATTATTATTATTATTATTTATTATTATTATTATTATGGAGCTGAGGATTGAACCCAGTATCCTGTGCACGCAAGGCAAGTACTCTACCAACTGAGCTATATCCCCAGCCCAAAAAAGTGATTTTTAAGAAGGACTTGAAAGGAAGAGAGGTCAAAAAGACCAAAGAGGAGAGTACACTGACTTCTGAAACTTTAAGAAAAATTCAAGTACTAGAATAACCAGGGACAATAAAACAGATTTCATATATTATAATTTAGAAAATAAAGGAGAAAAAGTAGGTGGAATATAGATATTAAGCAATTATTGATTAATATACTGCTCAAACTGGTAACAACAACTTCATTCGACAAATTATTCAACAAAGCTCATGTGCCGGGGCTAGATATACAAACAATTCCAGCATGGTTCCTGCCTTCATAAAGGCTACATTTGAGACAAAATAATAATCAAGAAAACAAATTAACGTAAGATTACATATTCTGTGGAGTAATATGAAGAAAACAAGAAAAATGCCAAAGAACAATGGTATCAGAAGAGGCCCATAGCCTAGAAGTGGCTCATCACATCTGAACCGGGCAAGAAAAGGAAAACAAACAGCCATACACATCATAGTTGAGTATGGATTTGATCTTTAGTAAAATGGTATACTTACTAAAGAGCTGTAAATCAGTTAAGTAATTGAAAGAATTTTTCTCCTTCCTAAAAATGACTCCAGCTAATTAGATAGAGCAGGACAGAAATATAAACTGCCTCAGACAGGTTGGTACCTTGGTCAGATATCTATCCTTGGCAGAACAAATTCATCTTTCACTCAAATCTAAATCCACCACTACTGGATTGTGGGGTGGAGTGTAGTATGGAGTACAAGAAGAGTACCAAGGACAAAGATTTTAAACTAAAGGCCATGACATAACATCATTTTACCATATCAACTTAAGTATTGTAATTACTACCAATTTCTTCATCAATAAATTCAGGTCATTCCCTTTTAGTTCTAAAACTCTATGGCACTGTAATGAAAAAAAAAAACAAATTTAGGACAAAATTTTAAAGGAGGCAAAAAATGGAGTGGCAGAATTGTGAATATCTTGTTTTTTTAAAAGTAGGTTAATAAATATTTTATACATAAAGGTAGGAAACTTTGAGACAGATTATAAAAAAGGCAAAGATGTCAAGTAATTATTATACAAGCTGTACTTGAAGAAGGTGAGTACTGTGGCATTTAGAATTGAAGTTAAAAATTTTGGTAGTATGTAACAAAAGCTATTTTCAAAGGAATCTAATGAAGGAAAATGTCCTTTTCTCATAAGCAACATTCCAACAACTTATAAACTTGCAAAACAACTATTTATTCCAATAATATTATTTAATTAGTTTAAACTGCACTAAATCTTGATATTGATACTTTAAGTTAAAAATAAATTACTTTTCCATTTAATTAATGATTAAAAGTCACATGCCAAAATAATCATGACATATAACAAATATTTTCCTTTTTAAAAAAAATTTTTTGAATTATAGGTATCTGATCAGTTACTATTTCCCTATGATCAAAGATCTTAGCATTTAAGATAGCAATTTATATATATATATATCCAATTCTAACAGGGTACAGAGAAAATATCATATTTTCTGTGCTGTTCCTTATTTGAAAAAGGATGCCAAGAAAATATTTAATTCACTTGGAACATACCTCCTAATATTTATATGTAGGTATAAATAGTACTTTCTTCTGCTCTTACATTTTTTCCTCAACTAGCCATGAAAATAACAGTAATTCCCAGTTCTCTCCCTCCCTCATTTCCTCCCTCCTCCCCACACCCCATTACCTGGTAATTTTTACTAATCACTTCATAAATTCTCAGAAACATTCAGCTATACTCTTTCCATATGAATGTTAAAATTCAGAACTAAGAAAATAAAGACTTTTGTTTATGAATAGTGTATATAACAAATTTTTTTTCAATTATACATGACTCATACGCAGGCAAACCACTGACTGAAGTCCAGTGTTTACTTAGAAAACAAGTTATCTGGTAGCCACAATTCCCTAAAGATTGTAGCAGAAATGTGTAAAAGGCTTCAAAATACTTGAAAAAAATCCCATGGAAGACAAATTAAAATAAACAAACATACTAGAAAGGTGATGATTCTTCAAGTAAACATGAAAATCTTATTAAAATGCAATATATGTTTTTCTTCAAAAAGGAAATCTAAGAAGATGAAATATGAAATAGATACTTTATATAAAATATTTACATATACAATGCAAAAAATCCACTATGGTTAGTAGCCTTTATGGATTTGAAGAACTAGATATTTACATATCTCTCTTTCTGCATGTGTGTGTGTATGTGTGTATGTGTGTTTTGTATATATTTTTAACAGTTGACAGCTGTTTTAGAGCATACAGAGATGCCAAGCTGAATGAGGGTCTTGATTACTTCAAGATTAGCTATCTAAAGTTTCTATTCATTTTAAGTGTTGTTAGTTGGAAGAGTCATTAGTCACTTCCTTGTCTCATAGAACATCAGCATACATTTACATTGTTAATGAACATTTGGGGTAAATGAATTAATGGCACTTTTAAACATCAATTCACTCCTAATAACTCAGTATGTCATAGAAATGTTAGGCTAGGATATAAATGAAAAGCCTTTTCAGTAAAGGTAACTACTCATTCTGTAAACAATAAAGGATAAAATTAATTTAAATTTTTTTTAATATTTAATGAAATAGACTAGAGAAAAATATGCACTTAAAAAACAGAAAACTATATTCTCCACTAGGCATAAAAGCCAGAAATAGTATGAAAACTGTATTAAAGTATTTTATGTACATGTAAAATACTTACAGAAGTATGAGCAAATTTATTTAACTTATTTAATGGTGAGTACTGCTTATAGGTATTAATTACATTTAAGACAAATCCTCACTTGAAAAGCTTTCATGCTTACTTTTGAAAGGGTGAAGTTTCTAAACTGCAAAGCATGGGTTAAATTCCTGAGGCAGTTAGGACAAGGCCCCACTGGCCATTTAGTTGAATTATGGCCTGGAGTCCTGTGCAATTCCTCACATAGATATCAGGGTCCGAACCAATCAGTTTAAATGTAACCCCCTCCTTAGGCAAGACCTATCACTCCAGCCAGCCCTGTTCCCGCCAATAAATGTACTAATCAAGTCTAAGAATTATTGTTTGATTTTCCCCGAGGTGTAAGGTGATTTGTTAAAGGAGACTGTGATGTATGCAAAGCCCCCCCCACCCCCTGTCCTCCCCAAAAGGTGTACTTAAGCATTGTTCAACCCCTGCTCTGGGCTCTGGGCTGCTCTCCTTTCTCGAGTGGGCATGGAGCCCTAGCATCTGGTTCAATAAATCCCCTTTTGCCAATTGCACGGAGCTAGTCTCTTGTGGTCTCTTCCTCTGTTTCGCCGGTCCCTTACACTTTCATGCTTACTTTCATCCTTACTACTGGGAAAGCTTTCATGCTTACTATTAAAATACTGAAAATAAAATGGTCACATTTTCATATTATCAAATTCTTAAACATCAGGCTGTTGAGTCTTTATGTAAGAAAATATGAAAATAAAAATATCACAAAGTCATTTTGAAATTCTATTTTCATTCAAAACATCAATGGCATTTGCATGATGCAGATATTAAAGATATACACACACACACAAAAAAAATAAACTCCATAAAAAGGCTTACATTCTAAAGATATAGCCAATTTAGTAGTCAACCAATTCTTCAAATTCTCAAAACTCGAGCCCTTGACATTAATATGAACACACAAAAAACAATAATTCTATTTTAAGCATAAAACACATATTAATTACTTTTACTAATTTAAGATATTTTAAAATAGACCTCAAAACCTGATATAATGGGTATCATTGCCAGAATGTTGCAACTCTACAGCATGTACCACCAGAGAATGAAAAGTTGTGCTCCATTTGTATAAAAAAAAAAAATCATTAAATTTTCTTAAACCTGATATATACATTTCATGAGTTCAAAATTACAAGTAGTCACTGAGTCAATGAGTTTAATCAAATATTTAATGATCTACCTAAAACTAAGGATAAAGCTTCAAAATTTCTCACACATTCATTCCTTCCTTTTAAGTATGTTATTACTATCATTGAGTAATCACTAAGAAAGATTTTTGACATAGACACATTTGTTAGGTTTTAATAGGACAGACGCTGACTATACTCTACTTTTTAACAGTTTACAACTGAGTAATTTGAGTATAGATCTTTAGAAGTATGTCAAATTTTCAATTATTTGCAAAAGGAAGAGAAAAAAAAAACTCAGGCAATTATTTTTTAATCCTGAAATAAACTTGCTAAAGCAGTGAAAAAACCCTGTAAAAATCAATACCTTTAAAATATGTTTGAGAAAGGACTCTGCATTTGTATGCTGACATCACAGTTTATTCTCTTTCCTGCCCCGCCCTGAGAATGACAGTGTATTAAACATTTGACTAATGCTTCTGTCTGTAATTCAAAGTAGACTTTTTGTAGCATTCATTAGTGTCAATAGTGTTCTGTAAATATCCAGGAAAAAGTTCTTAAAGTTCTTGAAGTTTCCTGGTGAAAACTGTACCCACAAGGAGGACCAAGCTAACTATGCTAGGTTTCCTAGAATTCCTAGACAGCAATTGCATACAAAACTCACCTCCAGACTTGTTTGAATAACTGGACAAGGGGTCAATGCCGACTTCTTGTTCTTCTGACTGCAGAGGATGTCTAGTTTCAGATAAGGAATGATACATTGTAGAAAGTGGACAGTATCACCAAAAGGAACTTCCTAGGAAATAAAAATAAACGAAAAATATTTTTTCTTTCTTTCACCTATGACAAGGAAGACATATAAGACTGAAATGATTAAATGAGCATTACAGACATTAACAAGTTTTCCACAGGCTCCAGGGACTGTTACTACACCTTAGTAGGCTTATGCAAAAAAGCAAAAAAAAGGTGGCAAAAAATTTCCATTTAAACACATTCTCCCAAAATTTGAACTTCACTTATATCCTTTATTTCAATGTTGAATCACATTCATTTTCAGTAAAATTTTGCAAAAACAGCTGAACTGGAAATTAAAAAACAAACCCTGTTTTTATATTTATGGCATCTTTTACTACAAAAATAATACATTCACAATAGAAACCTTCAAAGTACAAAAAATTCAGCAAATGATAATAATTTATACAACTATACTAGCTAGAAACAGCACTGTTACAATTTCCATGTACTATACATACTTTTCTTGTCTTTGTTGTGGATATTTAAAACACATATGTTTTTAATGTGATCCATCATGATAAACACCATGATTTATCATGAGTGTCTTCCTTCCCAGTACAATAAAAATATGTGTATGTTACCATTTCTAATGGATTCCTAGCATCCCATCACGTAGCTATCACAATTTATGCAACCAATATCTTATTAGTAAACAATTAGAATGCTCTCAGTTGTTCAATACCATAAACAACCTCACAGTAAATATCTGTGTCAAACCCATGACCATTTCCTTAAGATACATTCCTGTAAGTATACTTGCTAGATTGTAAAATATATTTGTAAATTAAGATTATATAACTTTTTCGTAAATTGTGCTTTAGCAAGATTTGAATATAATAAAAAAGTTCATTTCCCTTAGGCTTATATGGATCTTTTTGAACTGACACAACAGAGATTCATTGAGTATCAAGAAAATGCAATGTGATTTACTAAAGATTTTCTGTTTCTTTGACAATTATTTGTTGTTACGATTTGAAAACATGCTTTAAATATTAAGTATATTAAGTCTCTGGCGTATGACACATTTTTTCTCAAAGGGTGTCCATCTTTAAGTTGTTATGACATAAGGGTATTTTGTGACAGAAAGTATACATTTTTCATTTTTATGCATCAAATATGACTGTATCTCCATCATGGGTTTATTTCTTGTGTTATCTTACAAAGGCAGAATTACATAAGTAACCACGTATATATTTTATGATTTTGACAGAGCTTCCCCTCAATTCTTATTCCAAATATTCTTGTTCTACATTATTCCAAATTGAAAACATTAAAAAAAAATCTAGAGTTTCTAAGGTACCTTAACTATTGTGGTTAAGATCCCAAATGTGCCCCCAAAGCTCATGTGTAAAAGGCTTGGTCCCCAGCCATGGCACTATTGGAAAGGGGTAGTAACTTGAGAACAGCTATATTGAAGGAAGTTAGGTCACTGGAGGGCATGCCCTGGAAGGCTATAGTGGCCCTGGCCCCTTCCTCTCTGTCTTCACCTCCCAGTAGACATAAGGTAGGCAGCTTTGCTCCCTCCACCATGCAACTCCTACCATAATATTCTACCCACCCAAAAGCAATTGAACCAACCAATTATGCACCAAAACCTCTAGAACTGTGAGCCAATATAAACCTTACCTCCTTTAAGTTGATTTCACAGGTACATTGACACAACAATGGAAAACTCACATGTTAACTTCTTGTAATTTTTCTATAGCCATAGGGTACAAATTAACTTTTCAAATCAGAATTCTAACAAAAATTAAACGAGGCTCATCAATTTTATCCAAAATAATGCAAGTAAAATAATATTTCAAATTTCTATGTCAGAGAAGACATGAAGGAAAAAAATGAGAAAAAATAAATGGGAAAAGACAAGTCCAAAAAAAATGAATACTTAATTTTATAAGATATAGTCGTTAGCTATGAAGAAAAGGTCTCAGTGATACTCACGAATACACAAATCCTTGATCAACTTTCCCCAATACAAAATGTTCCTCTGTTCCATTCACTTTTTCTCTAAAATCCTCACCTTATAAAACACACCTTTCCTGTTCACTTCCTCCATTTTTATTAGAATCCTCCAACTCCTCACCCACCCACAAATCACAGTATGATGTTAACAAATCCTATGCCCTGGGATTGTAGCTAAAACAACAGAATCAAAGGCTTAAGGAAAATAGAAAACTTATATTGTAGAGATAAAATAAAAAATTTCTAAAGCCAGAAAACCCTAAATCCATATATTTAAAATAGTTGTCACTATTTGCTTCATATGTATGCAAATCAATACACATCTATAAAAGGAACTCTGGGAAATTATCTACTAGAAGATAGCAAAATATAGATAATCAGATAATATAGAAGTTATTTAAAAATCTGATAATCCTGTTGAACAAATTAATGAAAAGAAAGTCTTCTACAACAATAAGGCTAACCAAATTTAAATGCCTATTACATTCAGGCAAAAAGCGTTATTAATTACAGTGTACATTTGCAAACAACGAATACTGTTGTGAAAACACTCTAAATTCTTCATGTACACTTATCATTTCATCTTTCTTACAACTTGGTGATGATGTGTCTCCATTATCTTTGTTTTCAAATTAGTTTAAGAGAAAACTAATTAAATTTGTCTAGAGTAACACAATTAGAAAGTACTGAAGCCAGAATTTGAACACATTCTGTCTAGATCCAGAGCTTATATTTTTTCTCATATACTACAAGGGGATCTCAATAAGTCAGTAAGGCACACAGATCAAGTATAAAACAAGGTGTAAGATGATGAGTCTGTGAAAAATGAAACACTCTTAATTCTGCTTCAGCTCTTTCAAGACAAAATAGATATACAGAATTTTCTGTGAACTCCCCTTACTTGTAATTGTGGCAAATAATTCAAATTTAGAAATACTGTGCAGAACAGATTAAACAGATTCTGAAATTGTATCTGAGCAACTATTTTTAAATGTAATATTCATATCCTCTTCCATGTTGCTACATCTTAAAAATATGAAACTAAAAATTTTTAAATGACTTATTCCAAGTTAACAGCTAGATTTACCTTAAAATTTCTTTAATATCCTAAACCATGTTTTTATAACTTCATTACCTAAATTTCTCTTTGTATATAGATTTCACATATCTAAAATGATTTGTATGAATTTTAAACTTTATAAATAACAAACAACTGACAAGCAAATTGATATCAAAGTCTATTTTAAAAAGGAACAACAAGCCAGGTGTTATGGCATGTACCTATAGTTCAAACTATTCAGAAGCTGAGACAGGAGGCTCTCTGGAGCTCAGGGGTTTAAGACCAGTATAGGCAACATAGAAGATCCCCTACTCAAGGAGGCATTTGGGGAGGGGATTAAAAAACAAATTGTTACCACATTTAGTGACAAATGCCTGTAATCTCAGCTACTTGAAAGGCTAGTGGAAGAGGAATACAAAAGTTTGAGGCCAGCTAGGACAAAGCAGAAAAACCTTATCTCAAATTTAAAAAAAAAAAAAAAAAGACTTGCAGTTCAGAGGTAGAGTGCTTGCTTTGCAGGGGCTGTGGTTCAAGCCCCAGACCCTGAAAACAAAGATGTGGGATGTGGCTCAAGCGGTAGCACTCGCCTGGCATGCGTGTGGCCCGGGTTCGATCCTCATCACCACATACAAAGATGTTGTGTCCACCGAAAACTAAAAAATAAATATTAAAAATTCTCTCTCTCTCTCTCTTTTTTAAAAGAGAGAGAGAGAGAGAGAAAGAAAAATGTCCTTTTATATTTTATTATTAAATTAAGATATACTACAATAGGATGATGTTTATATATTCATTCAACGTATTACAAGATACTTAAAGATCTTTTCAACAACTTAAAGGAAATTAAGCTCACTAATGTTTCAATGGATTTAGTTATAATTATAAATCTTCGGTACTTGGCAAGTATATGGTAATCCCACCCCCCAAACTGGAATACATTAATCTATAATCATTCTATATAATCAGGAATCCACTATCTCCAAATTTATTATGCCTATAGTTTTGATTGAGATACTGAAATGCTTTTATAATTAATAAAAGTAAACCTGATGACTATTAATAATGAGTTATTTCAAGCAATCTGTGGAAGAGAAAAAATGTGAAAAATATTCTTAGTTTTCTTTTAATTATAATCTTAAATATTGATCTAATTCAAAGGTAACTTATTAAAAAGTTGGCATTTTTTTGTTGTTTTATTTTAATATAAAGGGATATTTTGGCATTTTAGAATATACAAAAATACTCAAATGTGTCAGTTATTGCTATGCTGATTACCTTATAAAAATCAGAATAAAACATAGCTTTAAATTGTGAAATACTTCAGAAATTCTCAGTTTCTTTCATAAATATACCACAAGAAAATATGTCTCTACTTATTTTGATATTTCTTACATATAAATTCAATACCTTTATCACACTATATGAAAATATTTGATAACAATTCATACAAAAATGAAGATAGTTTTGTCTTTAGTTTTAAAAATAATCACTCTAAAATTAACAAAAACTTTGAGTTTTAATGATCCATTACATCTTAAATTTGTATTACAAACTTTGACTTTTATACATGATCTCTACCATCTAGTTTCTACATAGAGAAAAACACAGAAAGACCAGAAGTAGGCCTCTTTGTAAATGACTACTCAAATCCATGAGAGATACATTTCAGTTCTCTCAAATGCTACACAGCTATGTCTAGACTTCTTGATAAAAATGATACCCAATTTTTATGGAAAAGGGACTGTCTTTACTTTCTTATAATTTTTATAAATAACAAGTTTCCCTGTTTTACACAAATTTGAAATTCAGAAAACTCAAAACTGGTTTTAGTACTATCCTGGTCACAGAAACTGACAAATTAGGTGGAAATTTCCATCTCATCTTAAGTTACCTTCTAAGGACAATCTTAAAAGATACCTGCACTAGTTTCACATATCTGATTCTTATAGCATTAAATGTAAAACTGATCTGTCTAAAAAGAG